TGTTGAAGTCCAGCTTTCCCAGTTTTCGCCCGCTCAAGAGCCTGAAGGCGATGCGGGCGAACGAAAGACTTGCAGTGAGGTCGCAGCAAACCACCATGGGCGTGGGGGGCACGGATTCCTTCAGGATGACAATCTGGTTTGCCCGAAGCGGGTTTCACAGGTGATCCTTGCAATCCTGCGTTGGGCCTTTCTAGCCAGGTAATTTTCAAAAGCGGGCTCAAAGCTGCGATGCCAGGCTTCTGCGCTAATGCCCTTCAGCAATCCAAAATCTAATCTGTTTAGGCTTACCCTGAGGCCAAGAGCTGCACAGGGAAGCGAAGTCCATCTGTCCATAGAAGGGCTCTGCGAACTCCATGCGCTTTCCCCGTTAGCAAGACAAGGGGAAAACCGCCTTTTCACTTTGTATAATGTGTCACTGGCTGTGGAACAAAATGGCGAATGGTTCGCAGTGCCAATGCTGGAGGGAGATTGATGGCATCTAGGCCGGTTTTCAGCCGGTGACAACAACACGCTTAATCTTGCTGAGGAAGTTTGATTTATTATTCCTGCCGAACGACACTCAGCAAACAGGCCGTGACTGATGGCATATATGACACATGCTTCTTGGATCCTGCATTCAAACATTATCGCACACACAGGCATACAAGCAAGAGAACAAAAAGGCATCCCAAACGGAATGCGGCTGCTACCTGTTCACGTCTTGCAAAAATGAGCTACACAAAGGAACAGGAGCGCCTTGGACCTTTGTGCTGCAAGGGCTAGCTGTCAGATAATGTGCAACGTGCACCTTGCGCGTGTGAGAGGCCCAGCAGGTGTATCATGCTTGATGAGTTTTATACGTGGTCATTGTGTTTTTTGCGCTTCTTGGCTTTGTTGCTGCTGCTTGTCTTCGTAGGCTAATCTTCAGCCACAGTGCGGTGGATGTTCCAGCCAATGGCACAGGGCGGTCGCCAATAAGGCAACGGCACGGGCAGCCGCATCACCTGCTCCAACATGAGCCCCACCGGCGCCTCGCCGTAAGGAATGGATTCCCCTGCCAGCCGCTGATGTTCTGGATCTTCTGGTCCAGAAAGAGGAGCTCGCCGGTCGCGTCGCTGCGCTGCACAGGCTGATGCCACTTGATCTCGCCCTTGTCCGCAACCTCGTCCACGTAGGGGTGGATGTTGCCGCAGCAGAAGCAGATCAACGCCTCCACCTTGTCGCCCTGCATCGCCTTGGTGAGGGTGCGTAGGGCTGTTCGATCCAAGGACGCCCCGGCAATAGGTGCCTGTTGTCGACCCTTCACTGAAATGGCCTTGTTGTAAACACTCCTCAGCGCATCTGGCGCCTTGCCCCGAAGCATGCATTGGCAGATGGGCTCCAGTTCTTCAGCGTGCCTCTGACGAAGGTGCCGCTCCAGCTCAGCCTCGCCCCTGTCAAACTCTTCCCAATGGCACCCCTGAAAGGCACAGAAGGCTGCTGGCCAGGCTTCTACTCTTCGCCGGTTCTCTTCCGTCAAGCCAGTCCAACATCGCCTGCAGACCTTGATGGCGTCGAACCCCCCGTTGCCCAACCACCGGCAGCCCAGGTCGCGATGTGCTAACCTGCTGCGGTCTTCTCTGGTCACGAATAGTAGGTGATCCGGACTTGGGGGGGTTCTGACGCAGGTCCGGCACAGGTGTACCTCGCAGACGTCAGCATACAGTACACAGGCACATCCCACGGTATGCACTGTTCCAGCTGTCGACTTCACAACCAGTAGGCCCCGGATTGCTGCAACGCAATCGCCGCCAGCACCGTGCTCCATGTGCAAAGGTCGTTGTGGTGCGGTTTGGGGCTGGGGTTTGGCCTGTAAAGCGCTGCGACGTGGACTATCAAACTTCAATTGAACCAACTGAACAGCTTCAATCCTAGCAACTTCACAAGTACTGGCTTCAGTTCTACAGTTCTAACATTACGGCTTCAGTTCCCACCACTTCAACTTCGGTGTGCCAGCTAGCCATCACAAGGCTCCAGGCCACACCCTTAAGGACCAGGGTTCTGGTAGCCTAGTGGTCTGTTACTTGCCCTGCCCTTTGCCCAGGGGGGGTTGAACCCCCAAAGGGGGCCAAACCAAGGCAGAGCAATAACGGCCAGATAGGCGACAGCCAGTGGGACAACAGGTCCTGATGATGGCTTTGTTGCTTTGTCCTTTTCCTTTCTTTCTTCCTGTTGTTTGTCGTGCCTGTGGTGGCTGGTGCTGGTGCTGCTGCCTTGTGGTGGGCAGTGGGTATGATGTTGAGAGTTTCTATTTTAGGGTTAAAGGGTTTAGGGTTAAAAAAAGATTTAGGGTGACGGTTAAAGGTGGATCAACTGAACAGCTTCAAACCCTTGCTAACTTGGGCCTTCCTCCCATGTTAACTCCTCGATGACAAGGCCTTTCTTGAGCTTGGAATGCATGTGTATATGTAGGTATGTATATATGTATGTACGTGTCCATGGATGTATGTATGTATGTATGTATGTATGTATGTATGTATGTATGTATGTATGTATGTATGTATGTATGTATGTATGTATGTATGTATGTATGTATGTATGTATGTATGTATGTGCGTATGTATGTATGTATGTATGTATGTATGTATGTATGTATGTATGTATGTATGTATGTATGTATGTATGTGGATACCTCCTTATTTATGTATGTATCTGAACATATGTGTGCGGATATGTATGTAAATGCGTGTGCATGCATGTGTGTGTGTAGGTATGTAATTATATTTGTACGTATGCATGGATGAATGCATGTATGTATGTATGTGTGTATGTATGTATGTCTGAACGCATGTATCTTTGGGCCTTCCTCCAATGTTAACTCCTCGATGACAACGCCTACCTCCCATGTAAACTCCTCGACGACAAGGCCTTTCTCCCATGTTAGCCCCCGAGTTACCCCAAAGACAGGAGGCAAAACCGCCACGAAAGACATCAGAGTTATATATCCCAAGGCAGGAGCCAAAACCTCCAGGAAAGACGTCAGAGTTTCAGTATCCCGAAGACAGGAGGCAAAACCATCAGGAAAGACATCAGAGTTATCCCAAGGCAGGAGTCAAAAACACCAGGAGAGACATCAGAGTTACGCCAAGACAAAAGAGGCCGACATCAAGAGCAGCACGAAGAACACAAGCATCAAAGCATCAAAATCATCACCAAAGGTCTTGTTGTCGCATTGCAGCCGGGTCGACGTCAAAAGAAGGATGAGGAACACAAACATCAATTCGTCAAAATCATCACCAAAGGTCTTGTTGTCGCATTGCAGCCGGGTCGACGTCAAAAGAAGGATCAAGAACACAAACATCAAATCATCAAAATCGTGTCATGCTGTTTTATGCCATACTGAAAAAAACACACTTGCAGCCCCAGACCACTCAATGCTTGACAACGTTTGACTCTGGCCCTTGCGATCGCTCTGCTCTTTTTGCCCGCCCCGTGGCTCAAGCCTGGCCGCCCCCATCTCTTTGGATGGCTTCTACTCTTCGCCGGTTCTCTTCAGTCAAGCCAGTCCAACATCGCCTGCAGACCTTGATGGCGTCGAACCCCCCGTTGCCCAACCACCGGCAGCCCAGGTCGCGATGTGCTAACCTGCTGCGGTCTTCTCTGGTCACGAATAGTAGGTGATCCGGACTTGGGGGGGTTCTGACGCAGGTCCGGCACAGGTGTACCTCGCAGACGTCAGCATACAGTACACAGGCACATCCCACGGTATGCACTGTTCCAGCTGTCGACCTGACAACCAGTAGGCCCCGGATTGCTGCAACTCCACTAGCACCGTGCTCCATGTGCCAAGGTCGTTGTGGTGCGGTTTGGGGCTGGGGTTTGGCCTTTAAAGCGCTGCGACGTGGACAATCAAACTTCAATTGAATCAACTGAACAGCTTCAATCCTAGCAACTTCACCAGTGCTGGCTTCAGTTCAACAGTTCTAACATTGCGGCTTCAGTTCCAACCACTTCAACTTCGGTGTGCCAGCTAGCCATCACAAGGCTCCAGGCCACACCCTTAAGGACCAGGGTTCTTGTAGCCTAGTGGTCTGTTACTTGCCTCTCGAGCCTTGAACTCTTCCAGATTCAGGGGGATGGAGCGCACGATCTTGGCCCACCCATAGATGGTTCGTTTCTGTCAAGTTAGACAAACCCTGGCGAAGCCTTCCGGCTTGGTTCTAGCTTGGGCCTGCAACCACAGCAGTGGCCCGTGGTGATTTAGTCGATGGACGGGCACATGGCATATTGTGTCGCTGCATGGATGCACGCGAAAGACATAACCCCTGATTCATGAGTTTGGTTCGGATATTCATCTCTGCAAAAGACATCCTTCTCTCTCTCTCTCTCTCTCCCTCCCTCCCTCCGTCTCTGTGTCTTTCTCTCTCTCTCTCTCTCTCCCTCCCTCCCTCCGTCTCTGTGTCTTTCTCTCTCTCTCTCTCACCCACCGGCTGCATGAGAAAAACACAAATTATGTCCAAACATACCCAGCCATCTATCAATATGTAATCTTAAATCTATATACGTGAAATCCATCTATCTATTCACATATCTGCCTGTTTATACAACTATCTTTAGGCCATTAAAAAATGCTGCACTGGATTGCAATCTTCCACACAATATGAAAAGGTGCTTTTGTCTTGCCAACTGCATGCTATTAGCCAGCAAGAACCTTTTTGCAAGGCAATGTGTTCCCGGTAGCCGCTCTCTATTGTGATACTCAGATACCAGCATTCCAGTTGTAGATAGTAGTAGATAGTAGTAGATAGTAGTAGATAGTAGTAGATGGGCTATCATAACTTGGCTATAACCACGAATAATGTGGCAAACAACCCAACAAATCGGTGGGGTGTGCCGCAGGATCCTGGTACCATGGCGGAATTGACCTTCAATTTATGGCCATTGGATGGGAAAATGATGTATTTCACTGTTTAACCATGTGTTAAGTAGTGGTACCCAAGGTACCCTCATTTTCCGAAATGAGAATCGGAGGTCGATGGCACCTCTTCTTCCTCAATGTCCGCTGCCATCGTGATGGTATCTTCCACTCTTGCCTCCTGGAAAAGTGATGCTGCTAAGCTCCCCCCATGGCTTTGGACATAGCTTGGAATTAATGCAAGGCTCATTTGCCAATGACCGGGTGAGGTCAAAGGAGTGAGGCATCTCAAGTTGTCATCTACCGTACTACCCCGCAATAAATAGATTCATGGATGGATAGATACCGTATATCCTGCAGACAAAGTTGGTCCCTACAAATCTTGGAAATACCCTCTGGTAAACTAACATAGCTATGGAAAATCACCATCTTTTATGGGAAAATCAACTATAAATGGCCATTTCCAATAGCTACGTTAAATTACCAGAGGGATCCAGAGGGTATGTCCTGAATCTCCTCGATCCTGGAAAATCCTCCCGCTCCAATTTGGACATCCACGGTGCCCACGGTGCCCATCCCGGCTCCGGGTCGCGATGCAGGTGATGACTGCCTTGCTGACGCATCACCGCCTGCCACCAGCAGGTTGGCAACCCGAAACCGTGGTGAAATAGTGGGTTTTTGGTATACATATATATATATGTATATATGTTGTTGTTACTATTATCATTGTTATCATTATTATCACTGTTATCATTATTATTAATTATTAATTATTAATTATTAATCATTAATTATTAATTACTGATTATTGATTATTAATTATTATTATTATTACTATTATTTTTACTGTTATTATTATTACTATTATTACTATTATTACTATTATTACTATTATTACTATTGTTACTATTATTACTATTGTTACTATTATTACTATTGTTACTATTATTACTATTATTACTATTATTACTATTATTACTATTATTACTATTATTACTATTATTACTATTATTACTATTATTACTATTATTACTAGTATTACTATTATTACTATTATTACTATTATTACTATTATTACTATTATTACTATTATTACTATTATTACTATTATTACTATTATTACTATTATTACTATTATTACTATTATTACTATTATTACTATTATTACTATATATGTGTTATGACTATATATAAGGTGTGTATATATACATATATGAGTACTCATATAATCTCATATATATATATGGTTTATAGGGGTTATGAACAACCTTATATCTATCTGGATCTACTTTTGTTGGACCACAAAAGGGGGATCGTATTTAGTATGTGGGATTATGTGGGTGTATTTGGATGTATTTGGTGGATTATGAAGGGTGCTTGTGACATCTTATAATATTGTTTTGATTGGCAATTAATTGTCAGTCTCAGAAAATATCAGAAATCAACCAAAGGTTTTGAGCGGTGATAAATTTGGGACAAAGTAAAATCTTAACCATATAATATATCATATCTAGTCAGGCTGCAAATTCAGTAGCCAGTTGCTGAGTTGCTGTTCAGCTATGTAAGACAAGAAAAACAGGTTCTACATCTTGGCCTTGTGAATCCATGAATTGGGGCCCTTATTGAGCCGTCTATCATAGTGTGTACGGTCGTAAGGGATACATACCGCGAATGCCTGACCAGGATGCTTTTTACGCGTAATGGAATATGTTGTGTCTACGCCTCTCACAGTTGGATGTACACCCAACATGCTCTAGCTTGAAGAGACTTGAAGAGTGAACTCTCCCCAATCATCAGCCTGTCATGTCTGGCTGAAGTCACCTTATTTCGCCCTTCAAACCGCTGGCCTTGGACAGTTCCATCATCATCAGTGGATGCTCATTGGCCATGTGCCACCACCTTGCAATCCAAGATGGGATGCGCCATCAAACATAGCCAGTCGCAAGGGAAACACATCTTTGAAGCAAAGACTGGGTCATCCATGGACTTCTTGGAAGAAATGATAACAACTGGGTCATCATCCAAGACTGGGTCATCCATCAACCAACTTCGAAGAAATTCTGTTGGTTTTTAGCCTTAGTCCCTTAGTCGAACGTCAGTAAACCCGGGGATTCCCCATTGATGGCACCAATCAAGAGCCTGGCACCGCAGCTTTTCACATGAAAAATGATGGTAAATATGATATGGATGATCCAATGGATTTTCATACGGAAAAAACATGGGTTTTAATGGATTTAGATTTATTTAAATCCATTCATATGGAAAAACCATAGGAAACCATAGGAAACCATAGGAGTGGGAACTGACCCCTCTCTTGATACCCAGGAACTGCTCCTCAGTCCAAAATAGCACCTGAAGTGGGAGGCCGTGCTCCACCAGGGGAAGCAACGTCTTCATTTAAAGGTAGGACAGGCTGCAATTCATATACTGGTTGGTGGTTTCAACCTACCCCTCTAAACATATGAAAGTCAATTGGGATGATGAAATTCCCAATATATCCAAAATTCCACACCACCCAACCAGTATATGGAAATTTGCAATGTTAAAAAAAAAAAACTTAGTTTGGGACTGATATTACTATAGTACTATATAGTATAAAGAACTGTTTTATTTTCAGTCTTTTCTTTTAAACATACAGCGAAAAACATGGGAATGGATTTGGTGCCCTGACCTCAGAATTGTGATGTCCAGATTTTGGGGTTAGGTTAGGTCATGTTCCTCGAAGAGCAATCCCGAAACGGGGCCGAAATGCTTCCTTTCCAAATGTTGAAAATCACCCACAAGTTGAAACCACCAACCAAACACTCTACCCCTGAGAGCTTGGTTTTCGGATGTGTCCTTCATTTTCCTCAGCTCGGTGGCTGAAGAAACAACCATGAGACATTTAGCGTATCACTCGTTTTTTGCCCACTCTCGAAAGAAAAATGACTTCCAAACCCTACGAATAGGCCACTTCTACAGAAAAAAAAAATCAACTAATTGTATACCTTCGACATCCTTCGAGTCTGGATATGTTCTGTCAATGAATTTAGATGAATTGCCCGAACTCGAAATCCCTTTGCCAACCGCCACCTCAGGGCCACAGACAGTGGATGCAACTGAGCTGGGATAGATCCAGTGGCTTGGTTGGAAAATCTACACCGGAAAGTGTGTGTTTTCCCCAAAACCTAAGGGGGTTCTTGTAAAGTGTCCCTTCAACCAATTCTGGTATGTATACAAATATTATTGCAACAGATTATATCATGTCCATTCATGTCCTATATATATACACAATACAGTATGATATATCATAGATTGTATCTTATGCGTTACATTGCACTCCATTCCATTACATTGCACTGTCTATTATATTACATCATATTGGATTAGATTATATCAGATCATATTGGATTACATGAAAACAAAAAAAACTGTTTTATGATAATCACCTTCACATCTATAATCAATCATATTAATGATGTATGATATATATATACCTAAGAAAATCTTATGCACTTATATAATCTTTTTTTAAAGCTGTGTCAAAACATGTCAAACTCACCATGACTGGGGGTCATCAAAAACCTCATCCCATTAGGGGATAAACCCAATTTCATTAAAACCTTTATTGAGGATGGTTGGATTGATAAACGGTTAAAACCACATGTTTTTTATCCATGAATTGTCAGTTATTCACCTCATGATCAACCATGAGATTTATCAAGTATCCTAGACTTATGAACCATATTCTAACCACTATTACCCTGCTTCTTAACCACTTAAAAACACCACTATTGAAGCATCTTCCGTTAAGGGCTCCCCATCCACGCACCTCGCCGTCCTCCACGGCCACGGCATAGCCATCCGAAGGGGCGCCCACCAAACTGTTGGCATTCACGAACCAACCCTGCCTGGAACGGGGGTTTCCAGAAATGGGGGATCCCATTTCTAGCTGGATGTATCATGGAAAATCCCAAGCAAATAGCTGGATGAAACACGTAGGTGCCCGCATTTTAGGAAACTTCCATATAATTGATATATCATGTATAAAACTTCATACTGGTTACTGAAACTTCATACTATCAATGGCCAACAGGAACCGATTTATTGGAGGTGCCTACCATTTTTATAAGGCCTATATTTTAGGGCTATGTAAGGGAATATTCCCACAGAGTATGGCCGGCAATATTATATACCTCCAAGTTATGATCCTGAAATTCCTATAAGACTTTGGTCAGAGGTGAATAGAATGTACTGATAGATATAATGTATAAATTTAGATGAATGGCTATTTTGAATCAAGTATCAATTGACATTGATATATGAATATTTTTGTGTGTATGTATATATATATATATTTATTTATATATTCATTTATTTATGTATTTTCATTTAATAATATACACACATTGACTGTTTCATGTGTATATATGTAGATGCATTACGTGCATGTACACATATTATATTAGTATATCAATATATATGCATACAGTATAGACAGAAATATATGTGGACCACTGGTTGAGTAATTCCTCTACCTGCAAAGCCCCAATCTCCTCAAGTTGATCTGTTAAGAGCATGGCCTGAACGGTTAAACATTGGGACCGTGACTCGCAAACTCTTGGGGCAGTGAGGGCGCCAACATCGCCAACTATACATTCTAGGCATCCTATGTAGCGTCGTCAAAACATGGCGAGGTTCGCAGCACATCATCCCGTCAAAAGTTGGATTAATAGACCAAAGGGTTTCCAAACTTTTGACCATGGCACTGCTGCCCGGCCTCAAAACAAAGCGCGGCCGTTGCCACTTTTGGTCCTGGCGAAACAAACCAGCTATCAACCATTTCCCCCAAGGAACTGAGGATATCATCCCAATCACTGACCAGGGTGCAGTTGGGATGTTGGGATAACCCCTATAACTGTGGTATCCATATCTATGGTTATGTAATGTTGTATATCTGCTTATAACTTACTTTTAACTGCCCCCTGTTGCACACCCCCAACTGGGTGCTCCTTGCTTCCCTCTTCAGGTACTGCATCCAGCACAGCCACAGCACCGGTATGAACGAGGTAGAGCGGTCGGTGCAGGTCGCCCGGAACGCACAGCATGGTCTTGAAGCCTCAATGAAGGAACGCCCAACAAAATACAAAAGATTACCTTAATCAATTCCCCATTTCTGTGGATTGTCCATTGGGAACTTGGGAACATGCAAAATAACTATCATCTTCAGCAACTCCAAGCAATGGTTCGGGAATGGCCAAAGCTAGGATTCACTGGTTTGAGAATATTTATTGGAACATGTCCACCTGGCACCCATGAAAACTTGCGGTGACTCCGTGGCGTTGGAGTTCCAAAATGCTTTGAACCTGTGTTCACCATATAGGGGATTTCTTAAAACTGGGGATCCCCAAAACCATAGGTTACTATTTTTCTTGTCATTGTTCTTATCTATTATTATCATTACCACTATTGTTTATATATGCGTGACTAACATTGATTATCTATAATCTTCTGGAACAATATCTCAACATGACTCAAACGGCTGCGCGTCCGCCCGAAAACTTCGCTGCGCCGAGCGGCTCTTGATGGACAAGCGGCTGCAGTAGCGCCAGGGACATCCCAGTCGCGCACCGTCTGAGAGGAACACCTCCCTGGCCAAGTGCGATCTTAATTGTAGATACCCGGCCCAAAATAGCAGGGATAGAATGTGGTTTTCTTTGATGGTCGATGTGGGTTTTTGATATGCTGAGCTTACCTGGATGGTGGAGGAGGCATTGATTGATTGTGCTTCGGGAAGGCTAAAGCATGGGAAACCAATCCAGGCCAGTTATTTCTGCCAGGGAAGATTCGAGAAATGCCAATCATCTCAGCTACAGGACAAATACAGGCAATAATTACTTCATCCTAAGGCAATATGCGGCTCATGCCCCAGTTTTTTGGGTTTGATCTGTGATTGTTGGACAATATCCACAGGTTTCCAAATCTCCTCCCCATCTTTTTGCATCATATCTCAATCAAATCTGTCATGGAGCTATTCGGTCTTGCCCCTGCGCCCCTACGCATTGCTGATCACCCGGAGCGGCAGTCCCCGCTACAGATGATAAACCAATTTCTCGTGGAACATACAGGACCTTATTACGTTGTCACAGATGATAAACCTTCCCATGCCAGATCAGATAAAAATCTTATCCCCCTAATATTAAACATCTGTATCCATCTATATAAACTTGTGGGTTCATCCCCTTACATCATGGTTTCTGGGATATAAAAAAGTAAAACGGGGGCCAAGGGATGATTCTCCCATTAAACATCCCGGTATTAAGTAGAGTCATTAACCATTATTTACACCTAGCCCTAGCCCGGCTAGCCCCAGCCCGGCCAGCCCTAGCCCTGCACCAGACCTAAAGGGTTCGAAGTTGATGCGCTGCTCCATCAGCTTGCGATCACGCACAAACGCCTTGGCCGAGCTCTGCGCTTGGTTGAACGAAGCCAAATCAATTAACGAATTAACCATCTGGTAAACCTACCATTTGGAGATTAACCAACAATCGGATAAAACCAGCAGTGTATATTAGGTACAGTAAACCCTAAACCCTAAACCCACCAGAAATGCGGATGGTTTAGGGTTTACGCTCAGTATATATAGAAAACCCACCAGAAATGTCGATCATGTTCTATCCGGGAAACCTGGAAAGCATGGTTGTCTTCCTATTCTGGAGGGCAAGCAGTCAAAAGACGTGTGTGTGCGTGTGTGCACCAACTAAAAGTTGGGATTTGACCTATCACACTTAATCACACCTTAGGTAACTGGCATTACCCAACTGAAAATGTGTGTTCAACCACCACAAGTGTGTAATGATGGGGATGATGGGGATGGTTTAGACGCTGGACCAAACAATCTCTGGATTCCATTCCAGGCCCTGAGTTTTCCCTGCCCAGCAGAGACTGGTTTGTTTCGTTGGAGGAATGGGTCAAGTCATTGACCCAATGAAATGGGTCGTGTCAACGAAAATCTGTGGAGATTGACAATTTCTCTGCCACACCTGGGACTTACTAATCTCTTTGCCAAAAAAAAAAGTAGCCAACCCCCAGAAACTCTGGTAAGTATGATGGCATGTAATGGATTAATCTACATATTTGGGTCCTTTTCATCAAATGCAGGGGACTACGGGGGCTAAGTCCACATAAAGCCATGATGAATCACCATGCAGCACCACTTCATTCAAGGAACTGGATGCAGATTCATCCACTCCCTCTGTTGCTGAGCCTGCGCACAGAGGCTGTGAATTCAGCCGGTGCACTATGACCTCCATGCAGTTGCCCTAAACCCGGTGTCATCCGGCTCTGACTTGTTGGTGAATGTGATTCCCCATAACCATTTGTTATCATATCAATCCATAACTGTAGCGACCGTCGCCCTTTACGGTATACGCATCCTTGGCGTTGCTCCAAGATGCGCACCCCTGCCTTGTACTGCAAGATGCGTTTCTCCAAGTGTGTCATAGCCTCAAACTCCAAGATCTACAGAACCCAAGAGTGCGCGTTGGCAACTGCAATTTGTTCGTCAAGCAAACAATGGAGAAGATTGGCCAGGGGCTGGGGCAACCGATGACGACTCAATGAGGACTCTCATCATCACTAAGACCAATTGATGATGATAACGATGATGACGATGATGACGATGATGGCGATGATGATGCTGATGATGCTGATGATGATGATGATGCTGATGATGCTGACGATGCTGACGATGCTGACGATGCTGATGATGATGACGATGTTGACGATGCTGACGATGATGACGATGATGATGATGATGGTGATGATGATGATGATGATGGTGATGATGATGATGATAATGATGATGATGATGATGATGATGCTGCTGCTGCCGCCGCTGCCGCTGCCGCTTTGGCTGGTGATGGTGATGGTGAGTGTCAGGATGATCGTCAAGATGATTCTCAGGATGATTCTCAGGATGATTGGCAGGATAATTGAAGGGCTGATTGTCAGGATGAGGATAACAAGGAGGTTGAGGATAAGAAGTAGGATGAGGATAACAAGGAGGTTGAGGATAAGAAGTAGAATGAGGACAACAAGGAAGATGAGGATAAGAAGTAGGATGAGGACAACAAGGAAGATGAGGATAAGAAGTAGGATGAGGATAACAAGGAAGATGAGGATAAGAAGTAGGATGAGGATAACAAGGAGGATGAGGATAAGAAGTAGGATGAGGATAACAAGGAGGATGAGGATAACAAGGAGGATGAGGATAAGAAGGAGGATGAGGATAACAAGGAGGATGAGGACAACAAGGAAGATGAGGATAAGAAGTAGGATGAGGATAACAAGGAGGATGAGGATAAGAAGTAGGATGAGGATAACAAGGAGGATGAGGATAACAAGGAGGATGAGGATAACAAGGAGGATGAGGATAACAAGGAGGATGAGGGGTAACAAGGAGGATGAGGATAACAAGGAGGATGAGGATAACAAGGAGGATAAGGATAACAAGGAGGATGAGGATAACAAGCAGGATGAGGATAACAAGGAGGATGAGGATAACAAGGAGGATGAGGATAACAAGGAGGATGAGGATGACAAGGAGGATGAGGATAAGAAGTAGGATGAGGATAACAAGGAGCATGAGGATGACAAGGAGGATGAGGATGACAAGGAGGATGGAGATAACAAGGAGGATGAGGATAACAAGGAGGATGAGGATAACCAGGAGGATGAGGATAACAAGGAGGATGAGGGATAACAAGCAGGATGAGGATAACAAGGAGGATGAGGATAACAAGGAGGATGAGGATGACAAGGAGGATGAGGATAACAAGGAGGATGAGGATGACAAGGAGGATGAGGATAACAAGGAGGATGAGGATAACAAGGAGGATGAGGATAACAAGGAGGATGAGGATAACAAGGAGGATGAGGATGACAAGGAGGATGAGGATAACAAGGAGGATGAGGATAACAAGGAGGATGAGGATAACAAGGAGGATGAGGATGACAAGGAGGATGAGGATAACAAGGAGGATGAAGATAACAAGGAGGATGAGGATAACAAGGAGGATGAGGATAACAAGGAGGATGAGGATGACAAGGAGGATGAGGATAACAAGGAGGATGAGGATAACAAGGAGGATGAGGATGACAAGGAGGATGAGGATAACAAGGAGGATGAGGAACAAGGAGGATGAGGATGACAAGGAGGATGAGGATAATAAGGAGGATGAGGATAACAAGGAGGATGAGGATAACATGAGGATGACAAGGAGGATGAGGATAACATGAGGAGGATGAGGAGGAGGAGGAGGAGGAGGAGAAGGAGCATGAGGATGATCGGGATCGGGATCAGGATCGGGATGATGGTGTGTGATGGTGGTGATGGTGGTCATGGTGGTCGTGGTCGTGGTCGTGGTGGTGGTGGTGGTGTGGTGGTGCGGGTGGTGTGTGGTGGTGCGGGGCAACAGTGGTGGCAACATGGTGGCAACACAGTGGTGGCAACAGTGGTGGCAACAGTGGTGGCAACAGTGGTGGCAACAGTGGTGGCAACAGTGGTGGCAACAGTGGTGGCAACAGTGGTGGCAACAGTGGCGGCAACAGTGGTGGCAACAGTGGTGGCAACAGTGGTGGCAACAGTGGTGGCAACAGTGGTGGGTGCAATTACCACAATGAAGTGTAGGCTCCTGTTTCGAATGCCTAGAATCCTAGAAACTTCAAGCCCTCTGAGCATGAACCACACCAGCTAATTGTAACAACCATTGACCATTCCCCAGTTGCCCCATCTGTCGCCGAGAAGCAGAATGTAAATCTTCAAAGAGTTGCCCTCCGTCTTTCAAGATGTGTCGGTGTTTCATCTCCTGGTCGCTGGCTCCAACCCACCGCTTTTCCAGAGGCATTGGAACCATGGGAAGCATTGGAAACGATTTGAATTGATCAATTAAACATCGCTTATCTATGCAGGCTATTCATCCTGGATTATTTAGGTATTCATCCTGGATCCAGAGGGCTCCGTTCACCAGGTCTGGGTGGAAATTTCAAGATTTGATAATGAAGATATCAATAAAAACATTCTTCTTGAAGTGCTTTCGGAAACAATATTTCTTTGACGGAGCTGTTACTAAATAACTGCTAATAGCTGCCACGTAGTTGCTAAATAGTTATTAAATAGCTGCTAAATAGCTGCTAAATAGGTACTAAATAGCTGCAACATGTCACGGGACGAGGGTCACATTCGCTCCTGAACGAGGGTCACATTCGCCCCTGAACCAAAAGGGGTCACATTCGCCCCTGAACCACAATACTTTTAATACGGTACTCAGCCCTTTAGGGATAAACCTGGAAAACAAGGGGACATTTAGGGGGGACTGGGGAATCTTTAGGGGGGACTTGGGGGCATATGGTAACTTGCCTCTCTATTCCATATGTTACTCAACCCTTTAGGGTTCAACCTGGGGACAAGGGGACATTTATATGTTGTTGTACTTGATGTAAGGAGCGCCCGACACCTTTAGGGTCTATATATTGTTGCATTTAATGTAAGAAAAACAACGACAACTTTAGGTTTTATATCTTGTTGCACTTGATGTAAGGAGAGCCAAGACACCTTTAGGGTTTATATCTTGTTGCACTTGATGTAAGCAAGGCCACGACACCTTGAAGGTTTATCTGTTGTTGCACTTAATGTAAGAAGACCCACTACACCTTTAGGGTTCACATCTTGTTGCACTTGATGTAAGAGGAGCCACGACACCTTTAGGGTTTATATGTTGAAGTACTTGATGTAAGGAGAGCCACGACACCTTTACGGTTTATATGTTGTTGCATTTAATGTAAGAAAAGCCACGACACCTTTAGGGTTTATATTTTGTTGCACTTGATGTAAGAATAGCCACGGCACCTTTAGGGTTTATATCTTGTTGCAATTGATGTAAGAATAGCCACGGCACCTTTAGGGTTTATATCTTGTTGCAGTTGATGTAAGGAGTGCCACGACACCTTTAGGGTCTATATGTTGTTGCATTTAATGTAAGAAAAAACATGACACCTTTAGGGTTTATATCTTGTTGCACTTGATGTAAAAAGAGCTACGACACACTTAACGGTCTATATCTTGTGGCACTTGCAAGTAAGAAAAGCCACGACCCCTTTAGGGATTATATGTCGCTGCACTTGAGAGCATCCGGGAAATTGAATGAAATGACTGTTCCAACGTAGCATCCAAACCGTCTTCGAACTTGCTCGAAATGCATGGTACACCGTAGCATCCATAGTGTCCTGGAAGTTGATTGAAATGGTTCTTGGAACGTAGCATCCGAAGCGTCTTCCCAGTTGCTCGAAATGGATTCTGCAACGTAGCATCCATAGCGTGCTGAAAGTTGATTGAAATGGCTGTTGGAACGTAGCAGCCAAAGCGTCTTCGAAGTTGCTCGAAATGGATGTTACAACGTAGCAATGGTACACCGTAGCATCCATAGTGTCCTGGAAGTTGATTGAAATGGCTGTTGGAACGTCGCATCCAAGTGTCATCCAAAGCGATCTTGCGCTTCCAACATAACACGTGAAAATGACTCTCTAGGGTGGAGGCTCTGAAACTATTGCGCCTGCCACACAAAAGCAGGGGTCACATTCGCCCCTGAACGAGGGTCACATTCGCCCCTGAATCCACTTCATCCCACTTCATTCAGGGGCAAATGCGACCCCACATGGTTCAGGGGCAAATGCGACCCCCGTGCCACATGTCACTAAATAGCTGTTAAATAGCTGCTCAATAGCTGCTCAACGGCTGCTAAGTAGCTGCTGAATAGCTGCTAAATAGCTGCTAAATAGCTACTCAATAGCTGCTAAAGAGCTGCTGAACTGCTAAATAGCTTCTAAATAACTGCTGCTAAATAGTTGCTAAATAGTTTCTAAATAGCTTCTAAGTAGTGAATAACGGATAAATAGCTTCTAAATAGCTGCTGAATAGCTGCTAAATAGCTGCTAAATAGCTGCTCAATAGCTGCTAAAAAGCTGCTAAATAACTGCTAAATAGCTGCTAAATAGCTTCTCAATAGCTGCTAAATAGCTTCTCAATAGTTGCTAAATAGTTGCTGAATACCTGCTAAATAGTTGCTGAATACCTGCTAAATAGCTGCTAAATAGCTTCTAAATAGTTGCTGAATAACTGATAAATAGCTTCTAACTAGCTGCTAAATAGCTGCTAAATAGTTTCTAAATAGCTTCTAAGTAGTGAATAACGGATAAATAGCTAAATGTTCATCATAGCTGATCTGTTGACGATTTAATCCACTAATCATCACTCATCCACATTTATGGCAGGTTGCATGTACAATATAGATAGAGACACATGTATATATATATATATATACATATGTAATATTATATATATATATATATGTATATATATATGTATAATATATATATATGACTACATATGGCTGCACTACTTTGCATTGTCTTATATGAACCGTTCTCTGCTTGTTGCTTTTCCACGATCCCTCCATTTTTGGGGTCAACTCCTGATGGATCCTACGCCCACCCTGTCCAGTCGTCAGCCTCGCCTCCGCCAGGTCGTCCTTCAGCCCGCTCCAAAACACACGGATGCCCCGCTGATTGGCCTTTTCGGGAACTGGCTGGCGCCCATTGGACTTTGCCAGATGAAGATCTTCAAAGACCCGGAAAAACCATGGTAAACACCATGGTTTACCATGGTAAACACCATGGTAAACACCATGGTTTACCAGATGAAAGCTTTCAATAACATTGAAAAATGATAAAAATGCTCTGCCGGCTGCTCGATGCTGGGTAAATCATCATGAACTCACACAACGACGTCATCGTAAATGATTGGTAGCAAGAGTAATAATCCCAAAACCACCGTATTTCAACGTTGGTGGAATACTAGAATTCAGTAATGTCATATGGTGGTGTAGTGACTAGGATTTGAAGGGATGAGATAGGGATGAAGATGAGATCCACTGGTAGAATATTCTATTTCATGTCACTATATGTGGTCAGCGCCCTAATACTATATTATATGGGGATTCTGATAAACGGTGACCTTATATAACCCCTATATACATAATTACAATCCAGGGGTGTATATATATATATCATATTATATACCAGGGCTATGTACATCTTATATATATATGGTATATCATAGCCCTACATAGAAATTACAATCCACTTGGGTCGTGCTTAGAATGTAGCCACTTGGTATGTCCACGGCTAAGGAAATCCCTTTACATAATCCACCTCTTTCCCCACTCAAAATGGAGCAGTTTTGGGGCGTTCGGCGTTACACCGGGAATAAAAAAACCTGTTGTTTCATAAGCTTGGGCTTTGATCTCTAAGATACACCTTAGTTCTTAAATTCTGGTTCTCCTGGTTTTCCTGGTTTTTGCTACACTTTATCTGTGTTTTGATGTTTTGGGTATCTGGTTGATACCGCCATTCTGGGGCCCTGTTTTGGGCCCTGCCTTGCGCGAGAGTTTCAACATGCTCATGGCACCCGAGGCGTCCATACCTGCAAGGCGCAATCTGGGTAGAAAATCTGGGCACAAAAGACTAACATAGGGAACTGGAAAATCACCAATTTTAAGAGGTAAATCAATGTAAATCAACTATACTAGAAATATCTAGTTTTTTTCCATAGCAAAAGTGTTAAATCGCCAGAAGGTGACCAAAAGAATGAAAATACTGGGGAATGTTGGGTATATTTTTTGGGGGTCTAATCAAAGAAAACATGTGGAATATTGATTGGATAATCTTGGAACATGGCTAATCTTGGATACACTGCACTATGATGGAGAGAGAATGTGAGTAAGTATTATATAGTATATGTAGCAGAAAACTGGACCAACATAGGGATAATCAATTGACCAAGAAGAGCCCACTCCTAATCTTGGATCCGACAGCAACAAATGTTTTCGTGACGCTGGGTATTTTGTTCCGACAGTAGTCGTAGCAACAAAAATAACAATCAAACCCAGCCAACGAGGTTTACCCAGAAACATGGATTCTATACTGTATAATCACCAGCACTGGCAATCTCACTCACAAAACATGGGAATTCTATGAACATCTGGGATCATCAGCAAACACGGGATAATCAGATTTGAACCGAAATTAACATATGCCTGACAGCTGTTCTCGAAATTGCACCATTCCAAAATCCAGGAAGCCCTAAAAAGAGCAAAATCGTTCAAGCCAAGATAAGAAGCAACTTGAGATCAGAGCAACATTAGACTTCACCTGCATTGAAGCCCTACAATCATACGATTTGAATCAAATCACATGAGCAGTGGCAAAAATTTATTGGAAAAAACCCTTACGCCTTGGTTGGTCAATGGGATTCCCAGCTCATGGACTGTGATAATCTCAATATAACCATCAATCAAGTGGGATCTTGAAACTATTCATATGTCTGGATAAATTACAAAAGTTGCTGAAACAAAGCCATTTTGGGACACTTGCCCCCTAGCCATCGCAATCCTAGCCATCATTCATTGTTGTTGTCCCAATTGTATCCAATTATACCACCATGTTTAGTGCTTAAATCCCCAGAAAGATGTTAAGTCCACAGTCCTCAAAGCTTCAGCCGCCAAGTCCTAGTAAAAACCCCCGGTTTCTCGGTACCATCCAGGCTCTTGGCATCAAAGACCAAGAACTTCAAGCGACGGAAGCTTTCCACCTGAGACGATGCGGGGACCCGGCCCAGAGGGGGTCAGATTTCTTTGGAGAAAAATCATGAAACGTCACAGTGGTATAAGAACCAATGCGGCAAAACTCAAAAACTAAAACCCTCTTTTGAAGATGTGCAAAGAATGCAAAGAACACCAAGTGCTAAAATGGTGTATAAGGAATGGCAATCCAGTAAACCCCATGTCAATTCTTCAAGCTCCTTTGATGTTGCAGAATCTGGGTATGATTTATGATTGGTTATTTGGCTCGCTAGCCGCTGCTAGCCATTGAACATGTCTGCATGGCCACACATTGCGGCTTTGCGAAGGCATCGTCTCCATCCCCCCACACTTTGTTCCGTATATATCCTCTCTGAACATGAACTTCTGGGGGACTTGGAGTAAGAGAACATGTAAAAAGTATATATGCCACCATTTGAGCTAGGTTTAATGCACAAAGCGTGTAAGGACCCCAATGTTGAGCTTGTTTCAAGCAAAACCTCAATGGTGTTGGGGAATCCCGAACCCCACCTGGTGCTTGTCTTCGTGTTGGAACTTCTCTTCAATCTGTCGGACGATCGACACACAGGAGCTGAAGAAGACGTAGCCCTTCAAATGGACAATCCTAGGCGGGGCTGGAGCCAAACCAGGGATGGCTAGACCACTCACCTGTACTTAGATCATGAATCCTTCCTGGAAACAGGGTTTCAGTATGTTTCAGTTCACTTTTTTTGGTTTAAGCACTTTCACAGGTCAATCCCATCCCCCTGTTACCACCATGATCCCCATGATCCGGGGCTACCTCCCAATCCCAAGCACACTAGGTCGGTCAAGGGGAAAAGGACACTGCAGTCCGGAAACTAGGGGTTATATGATGTTAATTGATATATATATATTTAATATATATATATATTATACAACATTATATATAGCTGTAAAATCCTGTAAACTGCAAACATGTACGGCTCAAAGAAAATCGTCATTTGGGGTGCACAAGTGGCTGGTCTTGACCCCTTCCCAGGCCAGAAGAGGCACATAATCCACTCCGAAGCAATATGCATAAAGCTCTGATGACCGACCTGTCGCCGCCAAGATATCCGCGGATAAAGTGGTTGTCACAGTGGTCACTGCTAATCCCGCAAAACTAGGGATCAAAGAAGATTCAACGTCCCAAAGAATAGCCCCGGGCATCCCTGAAAAAACTTATTCACCAGTCAAAAAAATGAAACTTACATGCCTGAACCCACACCAGCTGGGTATGGTTCTTGGAAGTTCTTGGCAAGTCCTGATTCTGTCTATACATAGAAGACTGGTCGAACCACCGAACTTCCCCATGTTTTTCCGCGAAAAGATTCCCAAACATGTCTAGCCGGGGTTGTTCGAAAAATAAGGTACCCCTATTTTCCCCATGAAAAAGATCATGGTTGTTCAGTTCCCTCGACCGCAGACGTGGTTCACCGTGGCGCCTCACCCACCGGTCGATCGCGGGTGTTCACCTCATCTCCCTTTCGGGGCCGACCCACAATGGCAGGCACCCGGGCATACCTGAGTACGTTTGATGTTTACGGGACTTTTGAGGAACAAGTTGGGGTTCTTAAAAAAATAGGGAATCCCCAAGTCACGATAGGTTTCAGCATGTTTTCAATACTAAATGGTCTCATGACTTGGATGATTTGGGGGGCATCCCCATTTTGGGAAACCTACATTTAAAAGAACTGATGGCATTTTTTCACTGCAAAAAAGGGGTTCTGCAAAAACTCCCCCCGTGAAACACTTTGATGGGATTCTGTATTCTTCCTAATGGGAACAGAACATCCATTACAATCCAAGATCTGTCCACCCACATACTTGCGAATCGGAAAGCTGACTTTTCAATTCCCAAGTTCAAATGCCAGTGGAACCCATAAAAACTCTTTCATCAAACAGATATTGCAGGGTTATATCCTGTGTCGATCGGGATCTTGGTCATTTTGCGAAATGGTCACCTCTTGGGCTTTCGATTTTCCCACAAAGCACCAGTGCATCTGGGGCACTTGGCGATGAACGCAATACCCGAGAGAATCCTCGGACGCTGTTCTGGGTCACGTCAACATATACCGGGGCCTATCAAACGACAAAACCAAATGCCATGGGATTGGGAAGGCTGCCTGTCCGTGCGATTACCTTCAGGAAAGGAATGATGGGCTTCGACGCACAAGCCAGCATCAGCATTAGCATTATCATCAGCATCAGCAAGTTCATCATCATCATCATCACCATCATCATCATCATCATCAGCATCATCATCATCACCAGCATCACCATCATCATCATCATCATCATCATCACCATCATCATCATTGTCACCATCATCATCATCATCATCATCATCATCATCCTCATCCTCATCCTCATCCTCATCATCCTCATCCTTCATCAAACTTCATCAAACTTCATCAAACCGCCACAATGGCCGGGGAATGGGTCCCATCGTTTGGGGGGTGCCCAATGTTCTATTGGGGTACATATCACCCTGAAACTCCCACATGGAGCTTCCTGAAATAGCGGTGTCCCTAAATCATCCATGTTCATAGGATTTTCTATTATAAACCATCCAGCTAGTGGGGTACCCCCATTTCAGGAAACCCCCAAATAACCCGACCCAACCTGACTCCACCCTAACCAAGGAACACTCCAGCCAGTACTGCCCAAATCAGCTGTCCCGCCACGATGAAAACGATCACAATGATCACCTGAAAGGAAAAATGGAATATATCTTGGGAATGATTGGCATTAATGTGGGTATGAGTCAAGATTGACTCAGACCCTGGTACCCTTCTGTTCAAACCAAAATAACCGGGATAGCTGGATGTTCATCCCCTTCAAATAATATGGTGTAATAGGTATTGATCCCCATATTTTCATGGACCCACTCACTTAAGCTGATTTCAAATGGAGATACATGGCTGGAAGATCACTGGCGGAAAAAAATCCTCGATTTCAATGGGATTGGATTACCTCAAGGTATGCCTTGAATTTTTCGATAGTTCGTCCCTTTGGGATATTCAGAAAATATCGGATTCAGAAAGAATTTCTTTGTTAGTCGAGTCCATGAAAAAGTTGATCCCAGGAATCTTGGCAGCTTTTCATATCCCGAACATTGATGCTTAAATGGCTTAAATCCCAACACAAAAATCATGTGTGGTGCTAAATTAGTGCTAAACAGCATATTGATGCTTAAAAACCCATGTGTAGTAGCTTCTCCCGATTTCTCTCCATCTGCCGAGGAACAATCTCCAGCCATTCATTCACATGAAGGAATTTTCGAGATCCCCACATGTTGTCCGTCACGAAGCCCGCTCCCGCAAAGAACAAGAGCGCGCTCAAGAACCTGACCGTGGCCGGCACAGGTATGGGTATGGGTGAAGTCGTTAATTTTGGGGGATTCAATTAACCCTTTCAGCCGACTAAGATGATAGAATAACCCCCAAAAATCCTGGTTTAGTATTGGTTGAGTATTGGATCTATTCATTTTGGTATCAAAATTAGGGCCTATTATTAATTAATCACATTAGAGATTCCATTTGGAATTTGGAAACGGAAACGCCCAGCTGCAATTTGGGCAGGTAGTTAAAATGCTCCACCGTGCTGAAATAGCAGGCCGCGCACAGCAAGGCGTACATCATCCCAGCGCGGCGGTCCCGTGCGTTGCGCATGACGCCATAGCCTGGCGAGAGCTGATTTCTGCAGGGCTTGGGCTGAAATTCAAACGACTTTGAAGGCTGAAAGATCTGAAAGATCTGAAAGATCTGAAAGATCTGAAAGATCTGAAAGATCTGAAAGATGATGAGAGATGATGAGAGAATCCTGAATCGTAGATTGGCGATGATTAGGCTATGTCAACAATCACGAGAGGATATGTCACACGGTTTCTTAGGAAACATGATCGATGTTCAAAACTTGGGCCCCAAGTCTAAGCAGACTGACACCGTCCAAACTTGATTGTGGCACAAGCCGCTTCACTTCAACACCACACCGTGGACGCACCAGGCTATGCTACAGTAGGTAACCCCAATCATCGACCCCAGGCGAGTGGCTGATGACGTTGAATTTCAGTTGCATGTAGCCCGTTGCGGCCCCGCAGGCGGCCAAGATGTAGTTGAAGCAGCCAAACTTAAAGGCTTCCTTATCGCTGTCCGGCTTCCTTAGTGGATCTGGGCGACTCTCAAGAGTCTTCGAAGATCCCAGTGGAAACTGGACTTTTGATGGAAACACAGGCAGTGGCTGAAGGCTTTAGGTTCCAGGGCCTGAAAATTTTTCGACACCCGGGTGCCCTGGTAAATGTCTGAATAATAATAGACTATATCGGGTTCATCCTATCCTGGATCATCATTCCTGCTACAGCTGCTGTGGGGGGTATGCCCATCTTCGAACCCACCGAGATATCATATACGGTTGGTCATATATATATATATATCCTTATACCCATTGCATCCCTATTGTAGTTGGATTTCAACCGTTTTTATGGCATATTTCCAATTATATCTATATCAACATCCCATGAAAATGTGCCGATTTATTCGGTATATCCCCATTAATACCTCATTGATATTCCCGATGAAACCCCTGCGGCATTTTCCCAGGATCAAGGGCAGTTTGCTTTCAGTGGCATGGATCTTCAGGACACAGTCCTGCCATCGCCGTGCGTGGATGGGTTTCTTTGCTGGAAATGACCCATAAACAGAAACATGGGGTCAGTAAAAGAGCAGAAATCACTAAAATCGTTCGAATTCCAGGTTGTTTCTCTTGAAATCTATGAGTTTCATGATTGGATCTTCTCTGAACATCAACTTAGCAAGCTGTAGTACCATTCTTGGGTCCATTCTTACTGGGATACATAGGGAAACAACCAAGTCTTTGAACATCTTTGAACTATTCATGGATCCTCACTCTTCCCGACCTCATGGCTTTGAGGAACTTACCTTGGATCCTGACAAATAAGGAAGAAGGTCTCACAAAATGTGTCAGAAGAAAGGTTACTACTTTAACAAGTATTAAGGAAAACTGAGCTGATTATATAATATCTATAGGAAAACGCAAACACGTGGCATGGATCAAAACCATGAAAGTTTGCTAAAGACACTTTAAAGGTATCCAAGACGACGTTGAAAATAGCTCAATTTTGAAAAACGGAATCGAGAAAATAACTTCAAGGCAAAAAAATACTTCAATACCACTAAGTGGATGCAAGAAACCCAAAAACACCTTGACTGCCACGGATTTCGACTTGAAGCCATGCTTTCCACTCGGACACGCAGAAAGCTCGGTCCATGGTGGAGACAATGATAAACACTGCCAAGTCAGGAAGGGTCCGCGCCCAAGCGCTGAAATTGATGCTGCCGTACTTCCTGGGATGCCGTCGTTTCTGGCTTTGGTTTTTCGATCCCATCAATCCCATCCTGCATTAATGATTGTATCCCTCCAGCCGATTTCAGCTTCCGAAATGGATAGATTTACCAGCCGAAGTTCTTAGGAGAGCATGAAAAATAGTAGGGGGAAGGGATTAGCTGCGACCCCTTTCGGAAAGACATGACCCGATCTCCAAAGGTCGCTGGCTTGGCATTGCGTGATCGAGGCGAAAAAGATCCACATCTGCCCTCATGATATGTTTATCACATTTTATCACTCAACTCTCGTGTCATGAAAACAGTGGTCATTCTGAGTCAATTTATATAATTCACCATCCGGTATTTATAACAGAAAACCCATCTAAAACGTGAGATGAATGTTATAGCTGTTTTATGTTATAACATGTTATAACTGTTTAAGCATGTTAAAGCCCTCTAATTCGTGGTACACCAGGGCCCACCCAGCCACCTGTGCACGCCTGGGAAAAACCAAGGCTCCCAATGCTGTCTGTCCAAACCCACCAGAATGGCTCGTTGCCAATTTCTACGAAGAGCCAACCTGGCACTATGACCCCCACATCCCCCATTCTCCATGGCGGTCTTGATGCATGAATGGCCAAGTGGCAAAAAAAAAACATGGGCCCATGGGGCATATGTGACCTGCAAAAACCAGCAAAATGAGAACAACAATCATGGACATCGACTCTCCAAAAAGATACAAACTGGATCTTAGTCGACAAAAAACTGGATCTTTGTCAACAACAATGCCACATGTGCGGCAAGTGTTCACCCGTGTGTTTCATTGCTGGAAATCTACCTGTTCAATGTGGCTTTCACGCGGTTCACCGGCCTGGACTGTTGGACTACGGATAGAAAACCAAGCAGCTGGTTGTCCGAAGACTCGGCAAGTCCCATCCCCATCCACAAGCGAGAATTCTAAGAATTCTTGGTTCTATGACATTCTATGACCACGTTTTGGTGAGTTTAAATGCTCTGGTTGCAGATCTTACACTGTACTTATACTATTGGGGAGCTTCAAAATCTCCCATCGATGACCCTTCATGGTGAGGTCACAAACCCTTCGAAAGGGCCCATGCCTTGCTGGCGCATAGAGTCAACATTCTCGCCGGTGGCAAAGACAACCCTGGGCGGCAGCAAAAATCAGAGGACATTTGGGATACAGCATGAAGATGCATTAAGAATACGATAAAAATGCAGCTGTTCATGAAAAAAGATGCGGGTTAGCCATGTTATTTTGGCATGCCCTATTTTCAGGCACATCCATGTTCAAGAACCGTCTGAAAAGCTGAAAAGTATCCAAACCGACAAAGAGAAGATTCTATGGGTGTAAAGAAACAAGGAATAGTACTGCTCTGCCAAGCTATAGCCAATTGAGGATTGGTTCCACTTCTTGATTGACGCTGGGTTGGCTCTGGGCAAAGCGAAAAAGGCTGTCAGACCCTCAAGTCGATGGACAAAGGTCATTTTTCCATAGCTACGTGAGTTAACCAGAGATTGGCCAGAAAATCCCCCAGAGGCATGCTGCCCTCTATCCAGGTGCTCCCAGTGCTGGCGAATTCACGACTGGGATGCACATGGTCCCAATAAGGGTGTCAAATGCCAAGGTTCGATCCCCAATTCAACATTATTTGACTTATTAAGACAATGTTCGTGTGTGTGTTCCATTTAAAGCCCGTGATTTTTCCCATAAATTCATGGTGCTTTTCATAGCACCCATCTTGGCAAAGCATCCCAAAACCTGCCAACCTGCCGCGCCAAGTTGCCCCCAGAAGATGCAGAGTGGCACCAATAGGCCCAAGGGCATCATGATGGTGGGGTTCCTCAGAACTGTGGAAAAATAGGTGGAAAATCATGTATGCTAAATGGCTGGTTCAATGTACCATAAATGGGATGTTTAATATACCAATTGGTGTCATTGTACCGTAAATGGCTGGGTGTTATTGTTGCTTTACGAACAGATCTAACATTGATGGGGATAAGATAAGAATGGATGAATCATGGATGAATCATGGTTAATTTTTGGGGATTATATGATAGTGGAATTACAATTAGATACCCTCCCGGTGTCATCAAACGAAGCTGACCGGAAAATCCCCCAACCAAGCGGAGGTTGGAAAAGCTGGGTGGACTTTCAATTGCCATGTTTGAGTACCAGATGGCATATCTTTCTTGGCTTGGGTGTTTCATAGAGAGTCTAAATATTAGCTCATATGATGTCCTGCATTGGGCAATTGGATATATTGAAATCAGGGTTTTTTTTCCGTCAAAATCTCCCATTGATGGGACCATATGGGACCCTACCCAGCCTCTATTGGGTGGATGAATCAAATCCAGGCAGATCATTTTGGGATCAAACAGCGGTTCCCGATGCGAAACCAGCCGAAGGTTTTTTGCTTGTGTCGCTTGGACCAAAGAAATGAAATTTCATTGTGTTTCGGGGAGATGGGAAGGGTCAAGGCGAAAAAAAAAATCGTCCCCGGGAATTGGAATGTACAGAATCCTCTGTCGATTTTGGGGGCTGCAAGCTGCAAGCTCGACCAAAAAACAGCCCATATCACCCCACATCATCCCACCATGTTCGTACATGTTCCCCTTCAGCGAGGCTTCCCAATGTGAAGAGCCTTGATGAAATACAAAGCAATGCCAATGAGAGCCGCGGGCATGAACTGCTGCGGTTCCATGTCACAAAACTTCAGGGCGTAGAAGAAGACCTGGTGGGCCCATAGCTGGATGGCTTATATTTCGGAAAATCCCACATGAAAACATGGGATGATCTTGGGGAGTACCATGACTTAGAAAAAACCCTCCATGTATAGACTATGGATATTAAATATCAGTATAATATCAGTACAATATCTGTTCTATATATATATATTCAAAGGGCTGGATGAGGGTTTTGCTCGTTTGCGGACTATCTGACTATCTCGTTACAAGTGTCCATCTCAGGGGCTCGCCTTTTAAAATGTTTGATTCCCAGAATCTATATGATATCATATATGTTCTATATCATTTATAGATGATAGATATTGATAGATGATATCGATGATATCGGGAAATTGGAATTGGGAATTCACGCACGGAATTCATGGTGAGCCATCAATCCTGTGAATTTTCACTGGCTGAAGCACGTGGACCTAACATGAAATTCACCTCAAGTTTTTTCAGAAAATCATCTCAAGTGGAACCACGGGGGTCCTATCAAGATTTTCGCGCCCGGTTCAAGCCTGTGGAGGTGAACAGGGAATGGCAGTGATCGAAGTCACGACATCGCAAAGAGATTATACAAATAGCTATGGATCAAAACCATGCTACCCTGATCTACCCTGTGTTTTTTCACATCAAAATAGCAGCCATTCATCGAATCTTGGTAGCATGGATCTTTTTTTTCATCTTGGGCGCACCAGAAAAATCCCGCCACGCGCCTTGTATCCGACACACGCCAAAAAGGCCTAGCTCGATGAGATGCTGGGGAGCCCAGCATAGGAAACAAACAGCAACGACATGAGAAGATCAGCGATCTAAGGATGCAAACAGCAAGAAACTGAGATTGTAAATGGCTATAGAAATAGTGGAATTTCCCATTAAAAATGGTGGATCTTTCCATAGTTTTTTGTATGTTTACCAGAGGGTAAATGGCCAGGATGAGGCGAAAGGTCGATGGTCTGCAATCGGTGTAGATGGTGTGTAGATCCCCCTCCCTATTCGACCTCTGAGATGCTGTAGGGCATGTAACCCACGTAGCGCGTGAGTTTCAACTTGCCCAGCACCGACCACAAGAGAGCTAGGAAGCGGGGCTGCAGTGGAGAGGTTAAGATATGGAAAACAACCCTGGTTTCGGCGTCGGGAATTATGTATAAATGGTGGATGTTCATGGATGTTCCAAGCCCATATCGTCCATGTTCCAAGCTACTGCTATGGTCCGTGGTATTCAAAATTAGGAGCCAATGGATAATGTGGGAACAACAGTGACCATAGTGTAATAAGCATGGGGATCTAACGAACAATGGGACAACC